CACACAGAAGTTTGGTGCGCAGCCCTGGGTTATCACCGGCTGGAGAGGCCAGGACGCGCATGGCGAAGAAGCTGAAGGACGCGAGCCAGGTCTCCATTGCGACACGAATGATGTTTTCGCATCGCCCTCATCTTCGCGGGCAACTTCAACACCGTATCATCCTTCCTCTGAGCAATGGCGCCCGGCAAACAAGCGCACCATGATGTCCACAGACTACGCGCTGGCTGCAGGCTTGGACATCCAAGGGCTTGCAAATTTCGGAGTAAGTCTACCTGTCTGCAGATTGCTGGAGGGCCCCAGGAGGACTTCGGCAGACAACCTGGCCAGGAAAATGGTTGGGAAGGTCACGACGCCGTCTGGCGAGCAATCGTCGCGGTGCCTCGTCGCTGCGTCGCCGTAGGCTTGCACGGTCACTGCGATGCCATTTGGGTGCGTCGTGCAGGCTGGGGCCCTCAAGCGCGCCCCTGGCTGCTGCGGCAAGCCGCCATGTGATTCACGCGGTCTGAGCCTCTGCTCCACCCACAGGAACTCCATGGGCCCAGTGCATCTCGGCCTTGACCTCTCGGATCTTGGCCGTGAGCTGGCTGTGCTCGTGGGTGTCGGGCTCTTGCCAGAAGCTCGAGCTCCGTGCTGCGATTCTGCATCGCGCAGCGCGGCTGCGACGACGCGCGGCGGTGGCGCCGCTTCCCTGTGCCGGGAGGCCGCACGTGGGGCCTGGGCCCCTCCAGAGGTCCCTGTGCGCCCCCGGAGGCCCACTGGAGGTGCCAGAGCACTCTTGGCGCCACCTGCTGCTCTCAAGCTTTTCCCGGGCTCCGTGGCCATCGTGGGAGAGCCCCGAGATCCGGCGCGGCGAAGACATTACAACATCGTGAAAGGCCGCGCCTGCGGCCCCGGACAACAACTTTTTGCGTCACTTGTCGAGCCAGATCGATCTGTGAGGGCCCCGGGACCCTAAAAAAGGCGAAAACGCCTGGCTCGAAAGACTTGCGCCGCCAAGATCTCAGGGAAGGGGGGCGGTTGTGTTAGGGGAACAAACATGATCGACCCACGAACCCGGAAAGGAATATAGAAATGTAACGCATGGCAGCGTCTTCAAAGACACTTGATTGGGTGACGGGCAAACGCAATGCTGAGTGTATCGATCTTGATGTACCCTGCCGAGGGCTGTGCTGTGCTGCACCGTGCTGAATTGTGATGTGCCATGATTGTGCTCTATAGCCTCGTGGATCGAGTCCTCCTTTGCATCCGAATCCTAACTGAACTGATCTGGATCTTAAGCTCGAGCTGCCTGAACACAGAATAGCTGCCCCAGAGCTAATTGACAGGGGGACATGCCAGGGGGACGCGCCGCGAAACGTCCCAAGGGACGCGCCAGGCGACGTGCCAGGGGACGTGCCAAGGGGTCGCACCGCGGGACGTGCCAAGGGGACGCGCTACGGAACGTGCCAATGGATGTGCCACGGGATGTGCCAGGGGACGCGCCACGCGACGTGCCAGGGGGACTCGCCAAGGGACGCCCCACGGAACGTGCCAAGGAACGTGCCAATGCTGAGTGTATCGATCTTGATGTACCGTGCCGAAATCTGTGCTGTGCTGCGCCGTGCTGAATTGCGATGTGCCATGCCGCGATTGTGCTCTATAGCCTCGTGGATCGAGTCCTCCTTTGCATCCGAATCCTGACTGAACTGATCTGGATCTTAAGCTCGAGCTGCCTGAACACAGAATAGCTGCCCCAGAGCTAATTGACAGGGGGACATGCCAGGAGGACGCGACGCGGAACGTCTCAAGGGACGCGCCAAGCGACGTGCCAAAGGACGTGCCATGGGGACGCACCGCGGGACGTGCCAAGGGGACGCGCTACGGAACGTGCTGGGGACTCGCCAAGGGACGCCCCACGAAACGTGCCAAGGAACGTGCTCCAAAATTACGCTGCGCCCCCGCTCCAGCTGTCACGACCTTTCATAAATTACGCTGCGTCCGCATTCCTAGGGCCACGAAACTTAACAATTCACACTGCGCCCGCGCTCCAAGGGCCCCGATCCCTCGTAGATTACACTGGGGTCGCGCTCCCAGGGCCCCGACCCCTCGTAAATGACGCTGCGCCCGCACTCCAAGGGCCACGATCCCAAGTAATTTACGCTGCGTCCGCGCTCCCAGGGCCACGATCCCTGGTAAATTACGCTGCGTGCGCGCTCCAAGGGCCACGATCCCTCGTACATCATGCTGCGTCCGAGCTCCCAAGGCCCCGACGACCCCTTCGAAAAATTACACTGCGCCAGCGCTCCGAGGACCACGATCCTATGCAAATTACGCGCGGTCCGCGCTCCAAGCGCCACGATCCCTCGTAGATTACGCCGCGTCCGCGCTCCCAGGGCCTCCTGGGGCATGCTGGGGCGCCCAGGTCCCTCAAGTTTTGCAAAGCAAGCGTTTCGCTCGAGAAATCATTGTTTTTTTTGCGCGGGGGGAGCACCATCCTCGTCGTCCTGCTCAGCAATCTTTTCCTCCCCGCCTCTCGTCTCTCCTCCGCCGCCTCCCTCCTCCTTCCCCCCTTTTTTCCTCCTCCCCCCCCCCTCCCCTCCCTCGTCCTTCCTCCCCTCCTTCCCCCCCGCTCCACCCCCTCCCCTCCACACTTACACAATATGAATACTACTCTCCTCTCTCCCCTGATGACGTCCAGAAGATGTTCGGCCCCCCTTCCGTGTATGGTTTTATTCCTGGGAGTTGGGTTTTCGATTGTTTTGTTGTCAAAATGTTGCTCCCGCTGAAGCGCTGGCCTCATTTTCGGGCTTCCGCTCGTTCCGAATCGTGCTCCCGCTGCAGCGCTGGCCTCATTTCAGCGCTTCCGCTCGTTCCGAATCGTGCTTCCGCTGCAGCGCTGGCGTCATTATTTCCAGTGCCATGCCACGGCATGCAATGCAATGCTATGTGGTGTTCCGCAGTGTGATGCCATGCCTTCAGCTGCAATTCTAGAATATGCAATGATTGACTACGCAATGCCACGCCATGCTATGCGATGCGACGCTTCGATCTTCAAGGCCATGCTATGCCATGTTCTGTTCCGTGCGGCTGTGCGATGCCATCCTTTGCGTTACACAGATTTTTGATGTAATTCTTCACTACGCAACGCCACGCAAAACTATGACATACAACGCTCTGCCGTGCTCTTCTACGCCCTGTTATGCCGTGCTCTGCGATGCATCGCGCACCCTCTCAGGACCATTGCCCTATTCGACATCCGACTGTGCGAATCGAGAGGGGATCTACGCCATGGTAACGGATGGGAGGGAGGGGTAGGACGTCAGATATGGCGCGAGCGCACTAGCTTGGCTCATCCTACTCCCCTTCCTCCCCTCTCCCTCCCTCTCGCCCTCCCTCCCCCCCCCGCTCCGCTGTTCCATGGTCCTCCTCCTCCTCCTCCTCATCATTATTGCCCTCCTCGTCGTCGTCGACGTCGTCGTCCTCCTCCGCCTTCTCCTCCACCGCCTCCTCCCCCTCCTCGTCCATCGTCTCCTCCTCCTCCTCCTCCTCCTCCTCCTCCTCCATTCCTTTGCCTTATACATAACTTCTCCCTGTCGCACCCCGAGGCTAATTTTTAGGGCGGGCCGGGCGTTTCGCCTGAGACTTCCCCACAGCTTCACAGATGGAGGGCGGGTCGTTTTCAAAATGTGGCTCTCGCCTTCGCGCGGCGCGCGTTCGTTTTAAGCATGTCGAAGAGTTTCACGGCTTGAAGGATGGTCGTTTTCAAACTGTGGCTCTTGCCTTAGCGCGGCGCACATTCGTTGTAAAGAGCTGCAAGTGTTTCACGGATTCAGGGCGGGCCATTTTTAACATGTGGCTCTCGCCTTAGCGCGGCGCACATTCGTTTGAAACATTTGCAAGCGTTTCACGGATTTAGGTCTAGTGGTTTTCAACATGTGGCTCTCGCCTTAGCGCGGCGTTCAGTCGTTTGAAACATTTGCAAGAATTTCACGAATTGAGGGCGGGCCGTTTTCAAAATGTGGCTCTCGCCTTCGCGCGGCGCACATTCGTTTAAACAGTGGCAGGAAATTCGCGCATTGAGGGCCAGTGGTTTTCAAAGTATGGCTCTCACCTTAGCGCCGCGTACATTCTTATACACAACCTTTTCAACAGTTTCACGGATTCCCATCATCAGCGTAGCAGAAATGTTTTTGGATGGATTCAGGATTATGTGGGTGCAATAGTCACATTGATTCTCTGCGTTGAAGTCCTAGGAATGGCGTTCTTGCGCGATTCAGGATCGCCGAGACGCAACAGTCAGGTTGATCCGTGGCATTGGAATTCCGAGAACAATGTCTCGGTATACTTCAGGGTCCTCAAACGGGTGTCTTCCAACAAGGCAGTTCCGTCAATGGAAGTGAACCGTTGTAGGGGCCTGCGAAAAGGGAGCTTGGAGGGAGGGTTTACTCCAACATCGTTGAAGACTCTTGGGTTTACACTGGTCCTCCTCCTCCTCCTCCCCTTCCTCCTCTCCGGGCTGGGGGGATCATTGCTTCACCCCTCTGGCTGTCTCCTCACCGAGGAGCTTCCGAGGACTGCCTGACCTTCCCTGGCCTGACCTGCCCCCCCCTCCTGCGAACCTCTCTGCACAACAACGGTGCCCAGGGACAAGCAGCAGGCGGGACAAGCAGCGGGCGGGTGACGAGAGGACAAGCAGCAGGGCGGGCGACGAGAGGAGCGACAGAGACAGACCTGCAGAGGTGACGAGGGAAGGCGCTCCTGCACGGGACGGGCAGCAGGCGGGTGACGAGAGGAGCGACAGAAACAGACCTGCAGAGGTGACGAGGGAAAGCGCTCCTGCACGGGACGGGCAGCAGGCGGGCGACGAGAGGAGCGACAGAGACAGACCTGCAGAGGTGACGAGGGAAAGCCCTCCTGCACGGGACGGGCAGCAGGCGGGCGACGAGAGGAGCGACAGAGACAGACCTGCAGAGAGCAAGCACCCTGCCCCCCCCTGCAAGGCCCCCCCGCTCCGCTCGAGCCTGGCCGGGGACGGACACCTCGGCGCCCAGCACGAGCGCGTGGCACGGCGCGCGGAGCGCGCGCTCGAAGATGAGCAGCAGCGACTCGCAGGCCTCTGCGGCGGGGGAGCATGTGGAGCACCCGGAGCACGCGCGCAGCACAGGAGGAGGAGGAGGAGGAGGAGGAGGAGGAGGAGGAGGAGGAGGAGGAGGAGGAGGAGGAGGAGGAGGAGGAGGAGGAGGAGGAGGAGGGGGCGGGGGAGAGGCAGGAAAGCGCGCCCAGACGGCGGCCGCCGAGCCACCCTCGTCCCCGCGCCCCCAGAGATCTCGGGCCGAGGACCGCCGACCTCTCGGGCACGCAGCCCGTGGGTGCTGGGCCGAGGCGCCGCCGAAAGGCGCGGGGTTTTCAAGGGGGACGGGGGGGATGGGGGAGAGGGGGGCTCCAAGGCTTCAAGGCTGGGAGCGATGCAATTATCCATGACGGTTGCCGCATGGCGCTCGCAGCGCGCTGGTATGCACAGGTCGGCCCGCAGTGAGGTCGTCCAGAGAGGAGGGGACCTGCGAGGGATCTGTGGCCTACGCGGCGGCCAGGGAGGCAGCTGCAGGCTCGGGCTCGTGTGACTGCACGAGGTCATCGAGAAGTTAGGACAAGTGTATGCAAAGGGGGGGCGTGGAGGGAGGAGGGGAGGGAGGAGGGGAGGGATGAGGGGACCGGGATAGGGAGCGGGGATGGGGGGCGGAGAGAAGGAGGGAACCATGAGCAGGACGAGCAACAAGGAGGAGTATGGATACGCGTATGAGTCAAGCTGGCAAGCTCGAGCGCATCAGCGGGCGCCGCCCATGCCCTCGCATAACATGAAACACATGATGGCTCAACTGGGCACTTGGACTGGCGCGCGCACCACCTAGCGAACGGAATGAGCTCGCGCGCGGCCCCGCTTCCGACGACTTGGCGAGGGGCAGCACATGGGCTCAAGCCTTGATGGCTGAAGTCCGGCGCAGGGCATCGCGTGCTCAAACGGCATCCACTCCAAGGCGAAGATGGTCGATAACTGCTGCCAGGCACTTGCAAAACATTGCCCCGGCATCCCTTGGCACTCGCATACGGCCAGACCTAGGACATAATCACACGCTTCAAGAACATGAGGCCCTCCGCCCGGCCAACGTACCCCAAGCCACAAAATTACTCGAGGGGGACCTCCCCTGGATGCACAAGAATACCCAACAAACACGAATAACATTAGCGTACCGTCCCCAAACAAACCTCGATATCATATTTCGGACCGACCGTACCGTAATTTCCCTTACCTACACCTCCTCCTCGAAGGGCGGGGAAGGGTATAACGAGGGGGGGCGGCGCGGCTGGGAGCGAAGCGGGACGAGGACCTCTGTCTTCCTCCTCGAGTCTCCGAGGAAAAGGGGGGGAGGGAGGGATAGATGCAAGAGGAGGGGAGAGAGAAGGACGGAGTGATGATGATGACGACGATGATGATGAAGACGATGAGGATAATGATGAGAATGATGATGACGACGATGATGATGCTGCTGCTGATGATGACGATGACGATGCTGATTGTAACTATGATGCTGATGCTGAGGATGATGATGAGGATACTGGTGACGATGATGATGATGCTGCGGATGATGATGAAGATGGGGATGCTGATGATGCTGATGTTGATTATGATGCTGATTAAGCAGGTGATGATGTTTCTGATGATGATGGTGGTGGTGGTGATGATGATGCAGATGATGGCAATGGTGATGATATTGTTGATGATGGTGATGACGATGACGAACATGACGATGCTGATGATGGCGATGATGACAATGCTGCTGATGATGATGCTGCTGATGATGAGGCTGATGGCGATGCTGCTGATGATGATGCTGATTATGGAGATGGTGATGATGATGATGATGATGATGATGGTGATGAAGAAGATGATGATGACGATGATACCGGTTATGAGAAGTCGGATTATTATGGTGATGGTGTTGATGATGCTGCTGTTACTGCTGATGATGATGATGATGAGAGGATGATGGTTATGATGATTATGATGATACTGCTGATGATGATTATGACGATGATGCTGCTGCTGATGATGCTGATTGTGACTATGATGCTTTTGCTGAGGATGATGATGATGATGATGATGATGATGATGGCGATGATGATGCTGCTGTTAATGATGCTGATGTTGGTGTTGATGCTGATGTTGCTGCTGATGATGATGATGCTGAGGATGATGATGCTGCTGATGATGATGATGATGATGATGATGCGGCTGCTGCCGCTGATGATGATGATGATGATGCTGATGATGCTGCTGATGATGATGATTCTTATTATGATGGTGGTGGTTATGTTGGTAACGATGATTATGATGATGGGGGTGGTGGTGGCACTGCTGCTGATGATGAATCTGATGGTTCTGCTTCTGCCGATGATGATGATGATGATGATGATGATGATGATGATGAAGAGATGATGATGATGATGATGATGATGATGATGATGATGATGATGATGATGATGATGATGATGATGATGATGATGCTGATGCTGATGCTGATGCTGATGCTGATGCTGATGATGATGATGATGATGATGATGATGATGATGATGATGATGATGATGATGATGATGATGATGATGATGATGATGATCGCGGCCTCGAGGTACCGCAGAGCCAAGCGTACTGGATCCGACCCCCTCCCTCGAGGCGCACGGCGAATCCGAAGGGGGCTTGCCGTGCACCTCGCCTGCTCCGACGGCACCAGCACCCCAGGAGCACCCCCCAAGCCAACGGCCCGTGGGGTGGGCATGGGGGGGCGAAGCCGAACCCTAGCACATGGGGCTGGCGCGCCCTGCACTCTGGCCAGGCAGGGCGCCGCCGGTCCAGCTGCGCCACCGGCGTTTGCGGCGCGGCGCCCCGCGCCCCGCTGGGAAGGGCCCAGCCCGCCAGGCCGTGCCGGAGGGGCAGTGGGCGCCGAGCAGGCCCGAAGCCTCCGTCGCGGGGCCGACGATCTGCCCGTGGCCAGGCCGCGGCAGCGAGGAGCAGCGGGGCGCGCGTGCCCAGAAGTGCAGCCAGGTGGGCTGGCGGCGGCGGCAGCACTGGCCGCCAGCCCGTGCCGAGGGAGCGGGATGGCCTCGCACTGCCTCGACTTCCACGCGGGCCGTCTGCCGCGGCCAGCCCCCCCGGGGACGGTGCTCGAGCGGGTCCTCGTCCTCCGCATCCGCGCTCGAGCCGATGGCCTGCGCGCCCGCGAGACCGGAATGCGCGAGCCGGCCGGGCCCTCCCGCGGGAAGTCCTCGCAAGACGTGTCGCTGCCGTCCCAAACCTCGCCGAGGTCGCTCAAGCCCGAGATGCTGACGAGGAGGCCCCTGCACTCCTCGTCCTCGTCGTGGCGTCGTGGGACGCTGACGCTTGGGGACTGGGACGTGGGTTGCGCGTCGCGCCGCGGCGCGGTGGGCCAGAGCCTGCGGCGCGAGACGCCAAGCACGAGTTTCCGACCGCAGCTCCTCCAAACGTGCCAACGGCAAGGAACTTGAGGAATCCGGAGACGAGGGTCGTCGGGGCCGCAGCCACCCCCTGCTGGGCGCGCGGCTGGCGCCCCTCACCTGCTCGCTCCTGGCCGAGCTGTGGGGCAGCGAGCGGCGCTGGTCCCCTTCGGCTACACGCCAGAGTGAGCTTGCAAGAGTGACCTTTGGTGCGTGGCCTGCCAGTCGTTGCGTGCTGTACAGCAGTGGCACCCTGTGTGCTTCAGTTCGGCCCCCCGTGCCCCCTGGACATTTCTAATCGGCGGCGCCAGCGAATGCAGGCGCGGGTGTCGCTCACGGCAGGGCGTGGCGGGTACAGGCGCTAGAGCGGGTGGAAAAGAAGAGGGCGGCCGAGGAGGAGGAGGAGGAGGAGGAGGAGGAGGAGGAGGAGGAGGAGGAGGGAGGAGGAGGAGCAGAGGAGGAGGAGGAGGAGCAGGAGGAGGAGGAGGAGGAGGAGGAGGAGGGAGGAGGAGGAGGAGGAGGAGGAGGAGAAGGAGGAGGAGTGGGAGGAGGAGGAGGAGGAGGAGGAGGAGGAGGAGGAGGAGGAGGAGGAGGAGGAGGAGGAGGAGGAGGAGGAGGAGGAGGAGGAGGAGGAGGAGGAGGAGGCGGGAAGTGCCCAACCGCCCGCGTCCCCCGAAAGCTGCGCACCACAGGTCACTCCGGCGAAGGCTCACTCCTGCGTGTAGCCGAGGCCAGAGGCGCGCCCCCGCGCCAGAGGCCCAGCGCCTCAGCGCAAGGGGCGCGCCCCAGCGCCATGGAGGCGGCCAGAGGCCCAGGCACTCCAGCGAAGGGTCACTCCCACGCGTGGCCGAGGCTGCGCGCTCGTGCAGGCCCGCGCCAGAGGCGCGGCCCCAGCGGTCGTCCCTGGCCCCGCGATCCGCAGCAGGCGGCCGCAGCCGCGCACCGCGCGCGTGCTGCAACGGGGGCGCCGCCGCCCGGCAGCGCCCAGCGTGCCGGGCGCGCCTCCGCTCCAGCTATCGCTGGGGTTGCACCTCTGGGCAGGCGAGGGCCGCCGCCAAGGCGGGCCGCGCGAGCCGCTCTTCCGTCGGCAGCACCTCGCCGGCCAACCCGTCTGCGGCCGCGCCTCGCAGGGTGAGGAGGGGAGGGGGGGTTGGAGGATTGGGGTGGAGGAGGTGGACGGTGGGGAGGATGACAAGAAAGATGGGAAACGGAGGAGAGGGGGGATGAGGAGGCGGAGGAGCAGGATATGGAGGTGGAATGGGCACCTGCCGATCCTAACTAGTCTGCTCTGCAGAGGCTCTGGCTGGAACGACGCTGCTGCCGCGGAGACTGCCTCACTCCTGCTCCCCCTGAGCACGCCTCGAGGTCTCCCCCCCAGCGCCACAGGAGCAGCAGGAGCAGGCGGACGGTGCTGGCATTGCCGCACAGCTTGGCGCACGCCTGCGACGGGAGAGGAGGAAGGCTGGCCAGCCGGAGAGTCGAATCCCCTCCCCTCCACGCTTCTGGCCTCTCCGTGCCCCCCCTCCCTGCGTCCCCCCCTCTCTTCCTCTCTGCCTGCCCCCCCCCGCCTCCCCCCCCCGATCGAGCTTCTCCTGCCTCGCCCGCCCCCCGCCCACCGTGCAACACACAGCAGCGCGCGGGTTCTCTCCGAGTCGCGCGTTCTCCGTCCCGTGCTCCGTGGCTGCACGCGCACAGTCCCGACCGTGCTCCTCGTTCGCCGCCACCCGAAGCCCCACCAGCTCTCTTGGGAGCAGGTGGTGTAACAGCTCTGTTTGTCCCTCTTCCAAGCCCTTTCTTCTCTTGGTTGGGGAGGGGTTTACCCCTCCCCTCCCCTCCCCGGGGCCTGGACGATTGGGGGGGGCGAGAGGAGTTAGAAGGTCATATTTCGCCCAAGAGGCCTCGAAGATGCCCCCCGACGCCCCAAGATGGCCTCCACGATGGCTCAAGATAGCGGGAGATGGCTGATGATAGCCTCCGACAACCCAAGACGACTCCAAGTGCTCTCGGCGTTCCCCAGCGCCTTTACGCCTGCGACGGACCTCTGAGGCCTTCAGATGGCCCCAGAGAGCTCCAAGAGGAGCCCAAGAGGGCCCCGATATGGTCCAAAGACCGCTAAACAAGTTCCAAGCGGCAGTTTTTCGGCCTCCGAGAAGGCCCTAATTCCCGCCGCCCCTTTTTGAGCCATGGCTTCCAAGATGGCCAGAAAAGGCCCTCCAATGCCCCCAAGATGGGCCCTACTGTAGCCCAGAAGGCTTGCAAACATGCTATATGTGGCTCCAAGATGCTCCGCGAGGGCTCTAACTTCACCATTGTTGGCATCCCTGCCTCACTATATGCTGACCTGCGCCCCGCCTCCAGATAACCTTCATCGGTATCGTTTCGGAAAAGGGCTGGTGGGGATATGCGAAACGTTCAGACTTTGAACATGCAAAGGGCCAGATCTGCCTCTCGTGACCTACTTCTACGCGTGCTGACTTCTTATGATCTTGAGCAACCGAACCAACGTGCCGAATTTTCTACTACACATTCGCGTCATAAGACGTCACCGTGCGCTGCCCGTCAATGCGAATCTAAACCACTTTTGTGAGCTTCGCTTCTTTGGTACATGTGTTCGCACCCAACGCCGCTGGATTTCGTGGCTAAGTGTGCTTGCGAATGGCATCAGATGTAACTTTTTCGTAGGAGGCACGCCAAGCAGATCTGGGGGCCCAATGAGCTCAACATTGCAACATTGCGCCTGCCCGCAGCCCGTCTGCCATGATAATACATGCTGGGTGTAGAACTATGGGAAGCTTGTCGTGGCGATCACAAGTCAAGACGAGCCGTCAAGACGAGCCGGGGTCGGGCCTGCCTTCGAGCTTCCAGGGTGTTCGTCGCTGTATGGCTCCGCAGGCAGAACTACACACCCTCGCACGCGTTTTGTTTTGTTTATTGTTTGTTTGTGTGTTTGTTTGTTTGTTTGTTTGCTTGTTTGTTTGTGTGTGTGTGGGTGTCTGTTTGCCAAAAGAACGTGCCCGCAGGCCGCCTCCAGAGCACACCTCGAAAAGAGAACTTGCTCGACACACGGCGACTCGCCAGCAACACTGGGCGAGACGCGTGCCTGCCCACCTCGGGCAGGGAGCGTGCCTGCAGAACGCCAACGGCCGTGTGGCCGCTCTTCGTGGCCTCGCTGGCAGGCTGGGCGGGCCGCGTGCTCGCCGACACTCTCCGGCCAGCGTGCCTGCAGATCCCCCGACCGCGCAGGACCTCCGGCGACCCCGCGGCCCCGCTCCGCGCCCGCGGCCAGAGCCACCGGGCTCCGCCCCGCTCCGCCCCCCGCCGCGTGCCGTGCCGCCCCGGGCCGGCTCTGCCCCGCCCCGCGTGCCGCAGACGCGCGGGGCCTCCGCCGCGGGCGCCACCCGCGGCGCGCGCCGCGGGCCGCCCTGCGGCGAGCGCCACGACGCGAAGCCCCCCGCGCGATGCGCTGCGGGGCGTCTTCGGAGCCAGGCAAGGTAGGCAGAGCCCGCAGGAGGAGGACGAGGAGGAGGAGGAGGAGGAGGAGGAGGAGGAGGAGGAGGAGGAGGAGGAGGAGGAGGAGGAGGAGGAGGAGGAGGAGGAGGAGGAGGAGCGGATCGCGCAAAGACAATCGTGGACTCGGAGCCGCCGCCCCCCGCAGCCGGAGGCCCCCCGCGAGACACCTTCAACGAGATGCGATGCATTCAGATGATCCACCCCCTCTTCGGGAGCGGGAATGAGGGGGGGCAAGCGTCTCGTGGAACTCGGCGAATTGATCCTCAAATAACTGGGTGGTAAGGTGCGGAGGGGGGCTGACGGCCCGGGGGAAGAGACGAGGGTCATGTGATCATGCGGCAGATCGAAGCGTGATCTTCTGGCGCCCTCAGCGCGAAGACGTCGCCGCCAGAACCGTTGAAACCCGCCGGCTGTCTAATGGGAGAACCGCCGTGGCCACTGCTGCTCCTGCTCTACCCGTGGGGAGGAACAGAAGGCGCGTGCCAGGCTCCATGTCCCGCCGGGCACTGAGCTGGGTCATCTGCGATGGGGTGGGCTGGGGTCGGGGAAGAAGACGGGAGGAACAGCGGCGAGAGTGTTGAGACAGTCTGAGGCCTTGGTAGAGGCAACGACGTCCAGTGTAATCATGTTAGTCGTGTCGTATGCTATCACCGTCGGCTTCTGTCTTCCTTTGGGGATTGCAGCCGCGAGAAATAAGTCGGCCGACCTTCGGAGGGGGGCCTGCATCATCTTCGGGGAAGCCAGCAATCGCTATGCGATGAGCACGCCCCATAGCAGCGCAGCTCGGCGAACCGGGGCTAGCTGGCCACTCGAAGTGCCATTGCCAATTTCAATTCTCGGGCTAGCGTGGGAGGGGGGCGAAGTCGGCGGGGGGCTAGGTCCTTGAGCTCCTTTGGCTCCGCCTCGATGTCGCGCAGCTTCTGGTCGATGACGGCTTCAACAGCGGACGGCATTGTAGCCTGGGAGTTCTTGTCGAGTTCGGTGAGGCGACTGTTGATTGACTGGATGTTGGTGTCCGATGAAATCATTGTCGACCGAATCTCAACGATCTCCTGCTGCGTGGCCTGCTCCAGGCGACTAAGGTAAAGTTGCTGGTTTAGATTTTCTCGAGAAGCTCGGCAATCCATGCCGCCGCACAGGTGGGTGTCGCGAAGGGCGCCGAGGCGGAAGACGAAAGGGTTGTCGCGCCACTAATTCCCTCCTGGCTGGAACTCCTGATTGACTCAGCAGACAAGAGACTGCCTGCCGATCCTGACGTCCTGCTGCGGTCACGGGTGCGACGCGCGACACTATAGTCCCGTGGATGTCGAAGCCTGCCATGGGAAGTAAGGTGACGGCCTGCAATCGGACTGAGGCTGTATTGCTCACGGCGAACGTAGGGGTGGTCGTTCTTCAGGATCCTGTTCCTGGTGCGAACGAAGGGGGACCAGAGTACAATATGTTTGATGCACGTGGTTGCTACATATGAAGCAACAAAGTGTGACTTCTTGGGCACCTCACCGCCAGGGCCGAACGGTGCGGAGAAACTCCCTGCGGACGCTCGAGCCACGGCAGCGCCCAACTTCGGAGTGTCAGGGACGCAGGTTTCGAACTTGAACCGCCATGGCCTGAGCTGGTTGTGCTGCGGAGCTGAGCTCGTCCAAACACGTACAACGAACGAGCGCATCGCTAAACCGAAAGACACGTTTTGAAAACAACCCGCCCTCCATCCGTGGAACTATTGCAAATCTCAGTCGTCAAAACCCTAGACGGTGAAGAAGTCTTAAGCGTAACGCCCGGCCCGCCCTGACGACCAGTCTCGGGGTAGGACAGGGAAGGGCTATCCAGGAGGAGCAGGAATGGAGGAGAGGGAGACGAAGGAGGAGGAGGAGGAGAAGGAGGAGGAGGAGGAGGAGGAGGAAGGGGAGGAGGGGAGGAGGAGGAGGAGAGGAGAGAGGAGGAGGAGAAGGAGGAGGTGGTGGAGGAGGAGGGGGAGGAGGAGGAGGAAGAAGGAGGAGGAGGAGGAAAATGAGGAGGAAGAGGAGGAGGAGGAGGAGCAGGAGAATGATGAGGAGGAGGAGGAGGAGAAGGAGAAGGAGGCGGAAGAAGAGGAGGAGAGGGAAGAGAAGGAGGAGGAGAAGGAGAAGGAGGCGGAAGAGGAGGAAGAGGAGGAGGACGAGTAGTAGTATCATTAGTGTTAATAGTAGTAATAGAAGTAGTAGAAGAAGTAGTAGTAGTAGTAGTAGTAGTAGTAGTAGTAGTAGTCGTAGTAGTAGTAGTAGTAGTAGTAGTAGTAGTGTTAGTAGTAGTAGTAGTTGTCGTAGTGTTTAGTAGTTAACGTTGTACGTAGTTCGTAGTATGTAGTCTATAGTTGGTGGTAATAGTAGTCGTAGAATTGTTCGTCGTCGTAATAGTAGTAATAATAATAGTCGTCGTCGTAGTGGTAATAGTTAGGTAGTAGAGTAGTAGTTAGTTAGTAGTAGTAGTAGTAGTCTTAGTAGTAGTAGTAGTAGTCGTAGTAGGTCGTGGACGTAGTAGTAAACTGTAGTCGTAGTAGTACGTAGATAGTAGTTAGTAAGTTAGCAGTAGTAGTCGTTGTAGTAGTAGTAGTAGTAGTTGTAGTAGTTAGTATTTAAGTTAGTAGTTAGTAGTAGTTGTAGTCATAGTCGTAGTCTTAGTGTAGTAGTCTTAGTGTAGTCGTAGTTAGTAGTAGTAGTAGTAGTATTAGTAGTAGTTAGTGGTAAGTAGTAAGTAGTAGTCGTAGTAGTAGTATAGTTTGTTAGTAGTAGTTGTAGTAATAGTTAGTTAGAGTAGTAGTAATAGTATTTAGTAGTAGTAGTAGTAGTAGTAGTAGTAGTAGTAGTAGTAGTAGTAGTTAGTAGTAGTAGTAGTAGTAGTAGTCGTAGTAGTAGTAGTAGTAGTAGTAGTAGTAGTAGTAGTAGTAGTAGTAGTAGTAGTAGTAGTAGTAACAGTAGTAAAAGAAGTAGTAGACGTATTTGTAGGAGGAGGAGGAGGAAGAGGAGGAGGAGGAGAAGAAGGTGGAGGATGAGGAGGGACATGAGGAGGAGGATGAGAATGAGGGGGAGGAAGCGGAGGATGAGGATGAGGAGGAGGAGGAGAAAGAGAAGGAGGCGGAAGAGGAGGAGGAGGAGGAGGAGGAGGAGAAGGAAGGGGAGGAGGAGGACGAGGACGAGGAGGATGTGGAGGAGGATGAGGAGAAGAAACAAGGAGGAGGACGAAGAGGAGGAAAAGGAGGAAGACGGAGGAGGAGAGAGGAGGGATACTGAGGAGCAGAAGGGAAAAACAGGAGGCAACGGGAAGGCCTGCCGCTCAGCAGAGGCCCGCTCGACGAACGCCTGGGCGCGCGCGGCCCGTCGGGAGGCGCCCCTGCGCCGCACCTCTTGACAGTCATGCTCCCTCTTCCTGCCTCCTCCTCCTCGTTCTCCTTCCCCTCCTTTCCCGCCTCGTCCCATTCCTCCTCCTCCGCTTCCTTCTCCTTCCCTCCACCTCCTCCTCCTCCTCCCGCTCCTCCTCCTCCTCCTCCTTCTCCTCCGTCCTCCTCCTCCTTCTCCTCCTCCTCTTCCTGCTTCTCCTCCTCCTCCTCTTCCTCCTCCTCCTCCCTCTCCCTCCTCCCTCCTCCTCCTCGTCCTTCTTCCTCGAACTCCCTCGTTCTGCCTCTTCTTCCTCCTCCTCCTCCTCCTCCTCCTCCACCTCCTCCTCCTCAGCCGCAACTGTCACGAGCCATTCGCGCCCCCTCTTCCTGCCTATGACGCTGCAGTGAGTTTGCCTGGCAGAGGCGCAGCGGCTGCAGACGTCGAACGGCGAAACACTTTCTTACCTCAGTCCTACGCGCGTGTGCGAACAACCGCTCGCTCTCTCATCACCTCGGCATATTGAGCGGGAAGAGGCGGTGCGGAACAAAAGGCGGGAAACCAGGGGAACCCTCACAAGCATCGAGCATTCGACCTGCTGGCGACGGCAACAAAGTGCCCTCCGAACTCATCCGCTCCTCTCAAATCCTTCAGCTGCCCGCTCACATTGCAGTGCTGCGCCGCTCGCGACGGCTGAGGCAAGGTAGGGCTATTTCAAGATGCCCATGAACGTAGGGCTATTTCAAGATGCCTGGAACCTCCATGCGGCGCCCCTTCTTGTCTTCTCTTCCTTCTTCCGTCCTCCTCCTTCTCCTCCTCCTTTTCCTGGTGACGATGGTGACGATCACGACGAGGACGATGACGACAATGACGATGACGACGATGACGATGATGAAGATGATGTGTGGTGAAAGATGATGACGGCGAAGGTGAAGGTGTTGAAGGTGGTGATGGAGAAAGGCAGCTCGCGAGTCGCTCCGACCGAGCGGGGGCCTCCAGGGTGGGGGCACTGGACAAGGAGCCCTGAGATCGGGAATCCAGGGTCTGGAAGCTGGTGGAACTCGAACCGTGGATCGGCCATGGATCTCATCGCCGCCCTCATCAGTGCCTCCAGGGTCTGGAGCCTCCCGGGCACATTCCCTGACGAGTGCCCCCGCCGCGTCAACCTCCGAGCCCAGGACATGCGATGCCTCGTGCTTTATCCAGTGCGCGGCCCTCGAAATCCCGACCCCTGCCCCAGGGCCGGCTTTTCATCCTGAGCTGTGTCTTTGCGCTCCCGCGGCCCCGCGAAGGCCCCCGGACGGAGGCCGAAAAAAAACGATGAAAAACCTCCCGTCGTGTTTTTTCCCGACGCGAGTACGGCAGGTTCGTGCGGCGTCGGCGCGCGCAAAGGTTTTTGACACCGCGTCGATCGTTCAACCTTGAATCGATCGCGGCCCCGATCGTTCAAGGTTGAATTCCGTTGGGCCCAATGGCGTTATCGTGTCTCTCGGTGCTTCCGCGTCGCAGAATTCAACCTTGAACGCCTTCGCCGGCGTCGCCGGCGCGCCAACGCCGCGCGAACCTACCGTACGTCCATAGGGCCTGTCCACCCCCAGATGATGAGGAGGCGGAGCCAAAGCTGGAGGCCTCCCAAATGGGGTCCGAGTAGATGGGGTCGGAGGATCGCGCCGCATCGCCGCTGCGGCTCGATGTTGAGCCCGCCTTTCTCCATGCCGACGTCGCCGATACATCGGAAACGTAGACGATACATCGGCAATGTATCGGCGATGCATCGGCGATGCGGCGCGATCCTCTGCTCCCATCTACTCGGGTCCCATCTACTTGGACGCCCGAAATGGGTACGGAAACAAAGCGGCACAGTGCCCAACAACAAGTGTTGTCCCAAACCAACAGCGGCTGCTGTTAGGCAGGCGGCCTTCTGTCTCAAATGGACACAGCACGCGGCGACGCCAACAGCAGTCCTGTCCCAAATGAACAGGAACTGCTGTCGGTCTTTGCACCCTTTCTTTCCGTACCAATGCTGATCGTCCCGAAATCCAAGCCTAGAATTAGGTAGGGCATGTCCCCCTACATGCGGATCTTGGAAGACAATGAAACATAATTAGAAAACATTCAAAAATATTTAGCAGACCACGAACAATCGTCAGCATACTATTTTTCCCATTCTCGAATACTCCTCCTGCAAAGGGGCATGCCCGACTCAAGCCTAGGAAACGGATGCAGCCAGGACGCTCCAGCGATTCAAGGGTGGTCACAAGAGCACGACACATCGTCACCAGACCCTTCTGCAGCCATTCTTGAAGACTTCTCCTGCAGAGGGACATGCCCGACTTACGCCTGGGAAGCATATGCTTGGGGGTCCCATCACCGTGTGGTGACAGACCCGGCGGTGACCTCGAAATCCCTAAAGACCTCACCGCAGGGTCCGTCACCACGCGGTTCTGGGACCCTGGAGGCCCCGGTCGCCCGAGACGTCCTCCGAGCGCGGCCCGAGTCCCAAAACCGTGCGGTGACCCGAATCTCCACCGACTCACCACACGGTGCGGTCACCACCCCGTTGGGGGGCCCCCGAGATGCGGCCAGGACGCTCCAGCGCGCCGGCACCGGCAGCCCCCCCGGGGGCGCGCCAGAGCCGCCCCCGCCAGCAGGGGGTCCTTCGCCGCCCGCAGCACGCCCAGCGCCGCTGGCACGGCCCCGGCGTCCTCCAGCAGCGGGCCCGCGCCGGGCAGGGCGGCCACCTCGGCGAGGGAGGCTCGCAGAAGCCCCCTCGTCCTCCGCCTCTTCTCCCTCGTTCCTCCTCCTCCTCCTCCTCCTCCTCCTCCTCCTCCTCCTTGTCGTCGTCCTCTGCTCCTCTTGTTCTCTGTTCTGCCCGTTCCTCCGCCAGAGCCGCCGGCACGGCCGGCGAGCCCTGCGTCGAGACGTGCTCGGGGCCGGAGGGCCTTTGGGCAGGTGGCTTGTGGGACGCGCTGGATCCCCAGGCAAGCTCGCGTGGCGAAAGAACCGCGACGGGACCGCGCATGGACGAAAAGTTCGAGCCCTGCGGCGCAGGATGCCCCCCCTCCCTGGACTCCCCAAGGAGGACAAAAGCAGTCGAACCCCCAGACCATCACCCATGGTGAGATCATCATGGATTTCGGGGGCTGGGGGGATTATGAACAACCCCCTCAAGTGTGTGTGAGGGTTCGAATATTTGTCCGTGTGCTGGAGGTGTCTGGCCGTGTTCGGCCTCCGGGGGCCCTCGCCAGGCCCCAGGACTACCAGAAAACGACTCGGGATGCAAAGCCGGCCTTGGTCAGGCGGCCGTGAAGGGGGGGTGACCTGGGAGGGGGGGGGGGGAAGGAAAGGATCCTTTTGGGGACCCTGAGGGCTTCTGCAAACATCTTGAAAGGGGGTGACCTGGGAGGTGGCGGGAAGGAAGGGATCCGTTTGGGGGCCCTGAGGGCTTCTGCCAAAATCCTGAAAGGCCCCTCCTGGGCCCTTCTCTTTCTTTTCGCCGCCAATGTGAGTCCCCCACCCTTGACGGCCGCTCGACCCGGGGAAGGGATCAGTGTATGCTCCCTCCTACCCCCCCCTTAGAGTCGCGCCACTTCCGTCGACCCAAACGTGACGGACCCTTTTGGGCTTCGACACCTGCAGAAAACCGATGGAACATCTATGCTTTGGGCCCCTGTGGCCTCTTGGGGCGGGAACCAGCATCGGAACCGGGAACCTAGAACAGGGAACTCGTTGACTAAAATACCTTACCTGAAGGAGGAGAAGGAGGAGGAGGATGAGGAGGAAGAGGAGGAAGAGGAGGAAGAGGAGGAGGAGGAGGAGGAGGAGGAGGAGGAGGAGGAGGAGGAGGGGAGGAGGAGGAGGAGGGGAACGGCCGAGCGGGCCCACACTACTGATTACCGCTCGCGGAAGATGGCGCACGCAGTGGTGGGCCGTGCTTAACTTGGCCCGAGATGATTGCAGCGGATTTTCTAGTTCGCGTGATGACAGCGTGGCGGCGTGCGATACGTCACAAAACGTATCCTCCACCTGCTCCTTCCCCTGCTGCAGATCCTCCTCCTCCTCCTCCTCTCCTCCTCCTTCTCCCCTCCTTCCCTCTCCTCCTCCTCCTCCTCCTCCTCTTCCTCCTCCTCCTCCTCCTCCCCATCGTCGTCATCATCATCATCATCACCACCATCATCATCAGGACCATCATCATCATCTCGTCATTATCCTCGTCCTCGATCTCGTCCTCCTTCTCCTCCACCTTCATCCTCCTCCCCCGCCTCCTTCTCCTCTCCCTCCTTTTCCACCTTCTCCTCCTTCTCCTTCCTTCTTCTCCTCCCCCCTCTCTCCCCCTCCATCCCCCTGCTTCCTTACCTCCTCCGAAGCGGTTCGAGCGTCCTGTATGTAGATCACTGCCGGTGCGTCCCTCTAACGCTCTGCGCAAGTGCCCCAAGAGCATCCGTTACCTGGCGCCCGGCCACCTCTTCGCCTTATTCGTCCTCCTCCTCGTTGTGGCGTGGCGGCTAAGGACATCGCGCTCCAGAGCAGCTTGACCGGGATTGCTGGCATGAGCACGTCCTCTCGGCGCAGGGGCAAGCGGTCTACTGGTCTGAAAAGCCCTGGGGCGAGTGAGGGAGGGAGGGAGGGATGGAGGGGATGGAGAGGGAGGCAGGGAGACAGAGAGAGGCACACACGCAGGAGAAAGAGGCGGACAAGGATGAGCAGAAGGCATAGGATGAGGAGGAAGAGGAGGAGGAGGAGGAGGAAGAGGAGGAAGAGGAGAAAAGGATGAAGCAACGACACCGCAAAGTCAGCGCGAGCGCGAGCGAGGAGGAGAAAGGAGTAAGGATGAGGGAGGAGGACGGGGTCCCCCTCCTGATCCGATCCCCATCTTCCTCCTTCTCCTGATGCTGCTGCCTGTTTTCCGCCTTCTTTGCCTCCTCCTCCTCCTCCTCCTTCTTCTTCTTCTTCTTCTTCTTCTTCCTCTCGTTCGCCTCCTGCTCCTGCCCTCGCACGCCCCGGTCTCGCATGCCAATCGACGCCCCGCCGGGGAAGCCCTGGCGGTGTGTGCCGGCAGGTGCTGCGCGGAAGGAGCGCCGAAGGGAGGCAACCGACTCTGCGTGGCCCCCGGGCGCCGCAGGGCCCGCGGAGCGGGGGTCGCGCACGGGGCCGCGCGCAACAAAGCCCGTGCCTCGCATGCAGCCGCCTGGCTCCTCCTCCTCCTCCTCCTCCTCGCCCCCTCCCCTCGCCCCTCCTCGCGCCTCCTCGCCCCTCCTCGCGCCTCCTCGCTCCTCCCCGCGCCTCCTCGCCCCCTCCTCGCCCCCTCCTCGCTCCTCCTCGCCCCCTCCCCTCTTCGCCCCCCCTCGCTCCTCGCCCCTCCCCTTCGCTCCTCGGGCGTCGGGCAAGGAACCACTGAATGAGGAATCCAAGAATCTGGAAGCCTGTGGACCTCCAACGGAGCGACGGAGAGAAACGGGTCTCGCGCAAGATGGCACAGCGACCTTGCGCGGTGGCTTGCGCGGGCCGCCGGCGCGGCACGCTGCATTGGAAGCGTGGGCACTTGCGCGCGACCTTACGCGGGCAACTTACGCGCCAATGTCGGCGCAGTCGACCCTCTTTTCTTCCATTGCTCACTCGCTTGCCACCGCTCGGACGTCCATTTCCCGTGCATTTGTCGGTTTCGTGCGTGTTTTTTTTTGTATCTCGATGGTCCAGGATGTTCCTCGATGGTTCTCGCCGAGAAATATATGCACACGTCCGAGCGATGCCAAGCTGGAGGCTTGGGCATGGATACCACCGCCGCCCTCATCAGCCGAGGACCCCCCCAGGGTCTGAGGACACCTGAGCACATTCCTTCACGAACTTCCCCACTGTGTGCGGCCGTCTGGAAATGGTATACTGTCCACTCAAGCTTTCCCATGAAGACGAAGCCAGGACCAAGATCACACCGGACGGGGACACATCGGGGATCTCTGACATCTGGCAGCTCCGGGAGATGCATGGGGTTCCGCGGCCGTTCCAGGGCGCTCTGGAACGCTCTGAGGGCGTTCGGGGACGCTCTGTAACGACCTACCCGCAGTCATGGTCCCGCCCGACCCTCTGACGGCGACAGGAAGGACCCGCTGAAGCGACTAAACATGGAGCAGACACGTGCTGGGATTGGTTGCCTGCAGCATTGCTCGTGTGCAGCCAGTCCTTCGAGATGGGCAACGTCCGCCAATCAGCTTGCCTCTGGATGCTTTCCCGATAGTCGCCCACGGCGCCCCGAGCCAGGTCAAAGCCCGCCGGAATGGCCTGCAGTGTCTTCCTCACCGCTAGCGCGCCCTGGGCTGGTTTCGTCAACCTGCATGGAAACCGCTGTTCGCTTTCCCGCACGTTTGGTGCGCCATACGCCTTGAACGGGATATGGCCACGTTTTGACTTCCATTGCTGACTGCCGATTGCGAGAGACTCTTGGGCCGTGAATTGACAGCAACGCGCAGAGGACGATCCCGCCGTGTGGGAGCCCGCAGCCCTTTGCCGCCACACCGTCCCACTTGCTCGCCTTTGATGCCACCACTCCGTCTATCTAAAACAGACTTGTGGGAAGGAATGGTAAAATCAATGCAACACCCATCGCGCTCATGCTGCTCGCGGTCGAGTGGTGCTGCTCTGGCGCCTACGTGAGGGCCTGGAGGGGGTCAAATGCGCAGTCCCTGGGGTGGATTCTAGGGGAGGATAATGTGACACACCGACACACCTACAAACCCACAGGGGGTCGGCGGACTTCATACATCCAGGGAGCAATGTAAGAGGGCGCGCCGCTGGATAACCCCAACGGGGGGGTGGGTGTTGGGCCCCCCCCCCCCTTTTCCCAATCCGTCGTCGGGGACCCCCCCCCCCCTCCCCCCCTTTCCCGGTCCGTCGTCGGGGACCCTCTCCCCTTTCCTGGTCCGTCGTCGGGGAACCCCCCACCCCTCTTTCAAAAGAGGGGGGGGTCCGAACCGCCCCTCCCCCCCCCCCCCGTGGGCTCGAAATTCGACCCTCCCCCCTTTCGCCACGCCGCCCCCTGACTCCAGAACCCGCCCCCCCCCCCTTACCACCCCTAACCCTAACCCTCACCCTGACCCCAGACCCTAAACACAACCCCTAACCCTCGCCCCAAAGAGTACTCGATACCCACTACTCATTACCCACTGCCCAGTACTCACTACTCACTGCTTCCTACTCCCTACTCCCTACTCACAACTCTATACTCACTGCTCACTGCTCACTACGCGTTACTCACTGCCCAATGCTCACTACTCGCTACTCGCTACTCACTAAACACTATCCACTACTCACTACTCACCAATCCGTACTCACTGCTCACTGCTCATTACTCGTTACCCAGTACTCACTAGTCAATACTCTCTATTCCATACTTCCTACACAGTATTCACTACTCACTACTCGCTATTCGCTACTCGCTATTCGGTATTCGCTACTCAACACGCAATACTCACCACGCACTACGCACTACTCATTACTCACTACTCCCTCCTCGCTACACACTATTCACTACTCACTACTCACAGCTCATTACTCACTACTCACTACTCACCATTCACTACTCACTACTCCTTTCTCGCTACTCGCTACTCAATACTCCCTACTCACCACCCACTACGCACTACTCACTACTCACAACTCAGACCTCCCCACCCACGAGTCACTAGTTACTTCTCATTACTCACTATTCACCATTCACTATTCACTACTCACTACTCACGACACACTACTCGCCACCCACTTCTCACACCTCATCACGCACTGCTCGCTACTCCCCACTCACTACTCACTACTAACTACTCACTACTCACTACTCGCTAGTCCCTAGTCGCTACTCACTTCTCACTACCCACTACCCACTAGCCACTAGTCACTAGTCACGAGTCAGTAGTCACTACTGACTACTCACTATTTTCTACGCACTACTCACTGTTCACTACTCACTACTCCCTACGCACGACTCGCTACTCTCTACTCACTACTCACTACGCACTACTCTCTACTCACTACTCACTACTCACTACGCACTACCCACTACCCACTACTCACTACTCACTATTCACCACCGACTACTCAGTACCCACTACTTACTACTCACTACTCCTTACCCCCTACTCAGTACTCACTACTCATTACTCACTACTCACTACCCATTACTCACAACTCGCTACTCACTACTCAATACTCAGTACTCAGTACTCAATACTCAATAGTCAGTACTCAATACTCACCATCACTCACTACTCACTACCCACCACTCACTACTCACTACTCACTACTCGCTACTCACTACTCACTACCCACTATTCCCTACTCCAAACTCCCTGTCCACCTTTTCCGGCGCAGTAAGGAGCAGCAGGAGAGGCCCCCCCCCCGGCTCTCTGTCCGGCGCCAAGGGGGGGAGGGGGGGGGGGGTGTTCGACCCCCCCTTTCCAGCGCCAAGGGTAGGGGGGGGGGGGTCGAAAATCTCACCTCCCCTGAGGGGGGGGGGGTCCGACCCCGCCCTCCCTTTTCAATTACAGGGTGATCCAGTAGCGCGCTTTCGCAATGTAAGATTGACCCGCGCCTCTGTGGCTATATTGTCCGATTCTACGACCAGTCGGAGGCCTTGGGCACCTTGCAGACGTTGTTTACCCATCAATCGAAGGCGGCGGTGCACCGACTTGCGAAGGCGTCCAGGGCATTTTAGTCCATGTCACTCAACTGCACGTGCAAGGAGGTGTTGTTGTAGCGGAGCTTCGACAAGTTCGAAAAAAGGGTGGTGTCACCAAGGTTGTCTCGTTTGCGCCACTCATGGACTAACGCACTTATTCGCAAGATTATGGGCGCGAGACGACGCCTTGAAAAAGGCTAAGATATGCAAGTCGCTTGGACCGCCGAGAGGGCCCCAAGAAGCGAAAATCCTCAACCCCGTGGGAAAGCGCACATTTTTAGCATACTCGTCTTTTCCGTTTTGACAGCGTCCATGACAGCCCAATGGGCCGCCAAAGATCTCCCAAAGACGCCCCATGCTGGTTCCCGGGGGGCCCCGAGATGTCCCAGGGAGGGCCCGAAGACGGACCCGGGGCCCCCAAAACAGCCCAAGAGAACCCCACAAGGGTCCAACGAGGTTCCCCAGAGGGGCGCGACGAGCTGGCACTCCGAGCGCTCCTCCTCCAGATGGCCCGCAGTGCCCCTCGAAGGCTCCGAGGCGTCCCCGCGAGGCCCCGCGGGGCCTCCAAAGGGCCCCGAAGATGCTCCAGTAAGCTCCAGGACGGCCCGCAGCGCCCACCGGACACCCCCTCGGGAGCTCCCCCAAGGGGCGCCACGAGAGGCATCCCCAGTAAGCACTCGCATGCCTCCAAGAGGATCCCCACCCGCAGCCCCAGCGCGGTGGCGGGCTGGGGCGAAGGCCATTCGATGCCTCCCCGCCTGGCTCCTCTGCCTCGTCCTCCTCGGCCTCCTCTGCCTGCTCGCCGCCCTCCGCTCCCCAGTCGGCGCTCGCCTTCGCCCCGCGGGACGGCGTTGCACTTCCCAGCTGATACCCGCGCAGGCATCACCCGCATGAC